GATACATTAATCGTGTTTATTATATATTTTTTTATTAAAGTGGAAATCAGTTTACTAAATAATGTAAACTTGACTGACTGCTTCACTTCCACTTTAAAGGGATATGTATGTTGTTTATTATTTATATTTATTTATACTATTTATAATTTGTGTGCAATTACTTGCCTGTCAGTTGAGTTTGTGGCAAAACATTTTGCAGTGTTTACGTTGTTTATTACTGCATAAAATGTATTATAATAGATGCTTAATTTCATAAAGTACAAGTTGATTTCAAAATGCACCTACTTTTTTGCATTTTGTGCTTTTAAGTTGAATAAAAGACACATTTTCCCTATATATTTCATCATTGAGGATTTATTTTTAAAAAGTCTACAAATCTCGTCTCGTTCTCGTGAATCCAGTCTCGTGTCTCGTCTCGTCTCATCTTGGGAGATAAAAGTGTCTTGTCACAAGTCACAACCCCTAATATATATATATATATATGTATTTATATTTATATTTCTTTATATTTATATTTATATTTATGTTAGTTGGACCACTTTTTGTTGTTGTTGTTGTTGTTGTTGTTTCTAGAGGTCATCCCACATGCCTTATTTTACAGGCAAACGTTTATCTGTTTTGTTAGAATGTATTTTGTTAAATGAATTTGATAATAATTTGATGTTTTGGTAATATATGGCATAGTGTATAAATACTTATTATACATAACATATTATATTTTAAATAACTACACTAAATAAATAATACAGTAATATAATCTAACTACATTGGCTTTATTTATTTATGAACATAATAATAAAACAAGTTACATAAATAATAGTGATAAGTAAATTATTAAAGTCAGTGTAGTTATATTGTATGTTTATTATTTATTTATTTTTAGAAATATAATATTTAAGATAAATACTTAATCTGGTGTAGTTAGATTGCCTGTCTGTTTATTAATGGTAAATACTGTGTTTATAATAAATAAATAAATAAATAAATACAGAATCTAAATATACTTTATTTATTTGATTGTTTTAATTATTTCATTCATAGATAGATAGATAGATAGATGGAAAATAAATAAACAAAATACATAAATAATCATTCTAAATGAATAAATGCACAATCAATTTATGAGTGAACTAATTAAAACAACGTAAATTAATAATTCAATATTTTATTATTTTTTTCATAGACATTTAGAAATGTCACTTTTAATGAGGCTTCTTTTTTCTTCGGTAGGACATTTGTATAATTTTGACATTTTAGACTTTTACGGGGGAAAACATTTTTTTAGGAAAAACAAATATCAAAATGAACTTTACTACAGAAAAGTCCATATATATTTTAATACCTAAACAAAATACATAAATAATCATTCTAAATGAATAAATGCACAATCAATTTATGAGTGAACTAATTAAAACAACGTAAATTAATAATTCAATATTTTATTATTTTTTTCATAGACATTTAGAAATGTCACTTTTAATGAGGCTTCTTTTTTCTTCAGTAGGACATTTGTATAATTTTGACATTTTAGACTTTTACGGGGGAAAACATTTTTTTAGGGAAAAAAAATATCAAAATGAACTTTACTACAGAAAAGTCCATATATATTTTAATACCTGTAAACTTTGCCCCTAAAATGCTATGTGTTTATATGTGGTTACTAAAGTGGTGAGTGAATGTTAACATGTTGCTACATATCTTAGGGTTAAAAGCTCAACTTTAGGGACCAAGTATGATATTCTGGTCGCTAGATAATTCTATCATCCACCATTGAAAAATCTATTCTAATTTTCCTAGAAACAGAGTAGCACACTAGTTCTCTACAAGCCACGTGGTTTGAGTTTTCATTCATGCCCGTAGCACAAACGATGCGGGTGGGTTGCGCACTAATGCTTAATAGTATTTAACAACCACTTTTCAACATTCAGTCAACTTCTGATGGATAAAAACAAGCCCCATACAGTTCTTTCTCAATGAATACCATTAAAAAGAAGTTACGAGTTCCAGCTGTTAGCCGCTTCCTGGCCTACTAGCACAAGAGAAGTGAAACAAGAATGGCCTCCGCACACACTGTGGCTAAAAATACCCATTGGCCTGTACATTTAAATAAAAAAACAGGAAGGATTTGCTATCCTCCTGCTAGCAAAATAGCATTTGGCGCAGCTGCCGAGATGCTAGCACTGAGGGGATTGATAAGTGTCTTTCCTAGCGCAATTGGCGGTGTGGCTAATGGTGTTAACGTGCTAGAAGCCATGGAGTCGAGGAAAAAAAAAAAAGACAAAATTAAAAAATCGTTTTAGCTTTGCAGCGTGGGACAGATTTGCGTTTAGCGATGTGGTTTAGCATGTAAGTGTAGCTTTTTTTTCTGAGAAAGCCTGGCTGCAGGCTAGTAACAGAAATGGAGAGATATGTTATCGCTTGTGTGGCCTGTGTGTGTTTTTTTTTATTTTATTTTTTTATATGCAGCCTTTCTGGAGGATTTCAAGAGTGCAGCCTAAAGTGTTTTGCTGTTCTTATGTGGTTTAAGCTGTTCTAGTTGATTTTCCAGCCTGGCCAAGCTGGTGTTCAGCAAGATTAGCTAGTCAGTTAACTGTTTTCTGCTATCTGTCTGTAGGTATGTAAGTCTATCTATCTATCTATCGATCTATCTATCGCTCTTTTATTCTCGTCTGTCTCTCCGTCTATCGTTCTGTCTGTCTGTGTATTCATCTATACACCATGAACAAAATAACAAAATGTCGTAGTGTCAATGCTGATATAATCTGATTGAAGTCTTTGCCATTAACACTCAGAACAGAATACTGGCTCATCATAGACTGTCTGCTAGTTACAGGTCAGCCTGATCTTCTAATCAAGCACATTTGCCTGTACTCCATTGATTCAGACCTGACTAATCATGGCTTCGCTTGATAAATTATTCAATTAATTTGTACAACGATCCCCTCCTCTTCCTGATATAGCCATCACCATCATGATAACCCCAATGCCTCTCACAAGCACAGGACATTTGAAAATGGTTTATGTCCGATGCTCGTGGTTATCGGATAGCAGCCCCAGTCTACACACTAGGGAATTCCTAGATCTCTGTAACGTGTGAGCGACATCAATATTGTTATCCACCGCTTTCTTTAGTGTATCTATTGGACTCTAGAACTAGGAGATAAATATTGAATATTTGATATATTTTCAATATATTCGTAAGGATTTTCCTGGAAATAAAAAAAATTAAGCAACATTAATTTTGTGGGCTTTGGCAATATATATATATATATATATATATATATAAGCACCGCTTTATCACCCAGTCCTATTGGAATACCAGTGTAATAATGCACTTTTTTTTTGCATAAAAAATATTTAAAAAATTCAGAAAGTTACATCATTTCATTTTATGGAAGATACATTTGATAAATTTAGTTTACTTTTGCATTTCACACAGTCTGGGGTAGGCTTTTAGGCTTTGTCTCTAGAGTAGTCTTTGCACTGCAAAAAAGGCATATATTGTGAATTGGTGCATTTAAACACATTAATGTGGCACAGGGGAGGCATAAATGTACTAGCAAAGGAATCACAATTGCAGTAAACAATGTATCATTCTTGTGAATGTTATATTTTTGAGAAAATGTTGCCTTCTGTGTTGATTCACATGTACAGCTGATCCTGGAGGGGAAGTATGCAGGGCATAATTTGTGCCGTCATGATAACCCCAATGCCTCTCACAAGCACAGGACATTTGAAAATGGTTTATGTCCGATGCTCGTGGTTATCGGATAGCAGCCCCAGTCTACACACTAGGGAATTCCTAGATCTCTGTAACGTGTGAGCGACATCAATATTGTTATCCACCGCTTTCTTTAGTGTATCTATTGGACTCTAGAACTAGGAGATAAATATTGAATATTTGATATATTTTCAATATATTCGTAAGGATTTTCCTGGAAATAAAAAAAATAGGGCATAATTTGTGCCGGAACAGGCTGGATTTGGCCAGAATTTGATCATGCATCTATTTCGGTGACATCACATCACACCTCTGAAAAAAAAAAAATATATATATATATATAATGCTATTACCTGTACATGTATCATTCCTTCACACCATTATAACCAAGCTGTCTAGACAAGCACCTGACCTTGGGTGTCATACACACTCTTTGCCTTCCAAAACCACTGATATCTAGATCTTTTTACAATATTAGCTTTTTAAACACCTTTTTTTTTCACCAAGTATGTTGGTTTTATAATGGCGGCTTGCACAATATTTGCAAGCATTTTAGATGGTGGGCTTTGGCAAGCCTAATCTCGTCACACACATACACACCTCACACACACAAAGGCCCCTCTGTTTGCCTGAATTTCCGCACAATGGCACGCCACCCTTGATTTAAATCAGCAAGAGCAGCATGTATTATCAAAGCACGGGCACATACTTCTCCATTCCACGAATAACACCACCGGCGGGCACAAACTGACACATAACACATCAACTCAGCTTGAGCAGACTGTTGACGGTTTTGAGTCTTCCTTAAATACACCTAATTTATGTATGACGACACAGTGGCATCAACATGCGCATACACTTGTCAGCAATTGTCTGCAATTAAATCAGCTTGAACCACAACATACTGACGTTTAGTTGATAATTTCAGTCACATGTGGGCAATTTTTGGTTGAGAAATGTAACATAATGGTCTACCGGCTTCTTCTGATGTCCATTAGTTCCGCTGTGGCTTTATTCTCTTTTCTGGAACATTTTAACTAGAGAGAGAGAGAGACAGAGAGAGAAAGAGAGAAAAAAAAAACTTTGTATTGCTTTGCAATCACCAGTATTCACTTGAATAAATGCAGATCTAGTTATGAGGGTGTGTTATGTCTTTTGTCCGAGCTCTGAAAGATGGTTTGTTCTAACTGTACATAATAACCTAGGGAATGACTGAAGGACATAGCAGAGAAGTCAAATGGCCCCATACAGATGTGAAAACCCTACACTTTGTGATCCATTATCAAGGGAGAAGCTGCACTCACTGCAAGAAAAAAAAAAAATCAATACCTACTTCAGAACTAACTGCGCTTGCAGGTAAGACAGTAGAAATCACAGTTTTTGAAGCACCTATTTAACGAGATTGGCGATTAGTGGTCTGGGGTCTGAACCCTTCATCAGAGGTTGTCTACATCCAGAAGTAGGCTCTGGGTACTTTTGACAACAAACCACACTTTCATTCATTGCATCTTATGTGTGGTTAAAATGGACAAAAAAATGATCAAATTTACCAAAATGATAATATCCTGTTGGAGAACGAGGCTTGTTCTGCATCAACTAAATTGAAGACAAGTGCATACAGGGAGTTTAATGGTTGTGGACATTTCCTGTTATTGTTTTTTTTTTGTCTAATTGAATGCCAGTCCCTTCTGAAAGAAAGATTGTTCTACAAAGTTTATTTCCAACATGCTTCAACAAAACACAAGCTTAGTTAGCTGGTTTAGAAGTGTTTGATTAGTTTTGTCTAAACCATAGCTAACCATAGCTAACACTATGGTCAGACCATAGCTAACATCTTGAACTTGTTTTATCTGGCCTTTACATCTGGGAAATCAAACACATCAAATTGAACCCCTTAATGTGTTGCAGTAGAGAATTGAAGCAGTGCATGTTCCAGTCTCACATATGTGTCTGTCATCTTTTCTCTTGCAGAAAATGTGCATTTTACATACCAGAATTGTTTCCCTGCTCTGACGTGAGAATCTCCACATGCTTGAGAATCGCACTTTCCCAGTGTGGAGATTTCCACCCTTCAATCAACAAGCAGTTCACACTTCTCAGTTATGTTTAACACTCATAATATAAATATTAAAGGGTTAGTTCACCCAAAAATGAAAATTCTGTCATTAATTACCATCTTGGTACTTTTCTGGACCTTGAACGTGGTAGTTACCTTGCTGTCTATGGGAGGGTCAGAGAGCCCTCATATTTCATCAAAAATATCTTAAATTGTGTTCCGAAGATGAACGAAGGTCTTACGGGTTTTGAACAACATGAGGGTGAGTAATTAATGACAGAATTTTCATTTTTGGGTGAACTAACCCTTTAAGCCGCGTCAAAGCTTGGAGATAAGACAATATCGATAAATAGAGATATTTACGATTATGCTTATTTACATGTGGCTTAGAAGATCAAAATCAATGGCCAAAGAGACACTGTTTCACCACGGCCCATTTTCATGCTTCCTTTTCGCCGTAATGTCTGCGGCACTCCTTTTGGATCCTGTCGGCTGGGCCCACATTGTTCTCGAGTGTTATTTTTTTCGGCACGAATAGAAAACGGAGCCTAATACCACAGAGTTACAAACAGCAAAGCAGATTCAGCCCTGGATTAAATCCAGTGATGGTGTTTGGAATCTGAAGGCTTAGCCGCGCATCTGCCGCTAGTCTTACAGGTATGGGAGAGGCATTTCAAATGAGGGCCTGGGTGGTAATCTTGTTGCATGACTGCACTTAAGAGAGAAGTTTCAAGAAAAGTCATTCTGACAATAGATCTTCAAACTGCAGCATGTGCTAAGGTGAATACTGATTTGTTTATGGCATGCTGGTTTACTTTGGCAGCCTTTCAGCATCCTGTTCCAAGTCCAGTTCATCGGCCATGCTAACAATAGCAGAGGTTGGGATTCTGCCCTTGCGGTTGGGTTAAAACCTCAGTTTGACCCGCTCGTAGGGTAGTATAGTTCAAAACAGGAGGTGAGACACAAGAAACCGGTCTTATGAAGGGATATCTGAGAGGAAACATAAGCTAGTCAGAAAATATGATTTCAGCTTCAGCATTTTTTTTTTAACTTGGTGTGAAACACGTCTCCTGTAGAGCGTCAGATCTCAACAATATCTCAAACCGTGCTGAGATTTAGCAAGATACCAAAGTCTGCAAAGAACATTTATGTTATAGATCTATACTATTACTGTATGTCAGTAATCGTCGAATTTTTTTTTTTTTTTTTTTTTTTTTTTTTTTTTTTTTTTTTATGTTTACTGTAATTTCTCTACAAATATCCCCATTACAATCATGCTACATATAAGATTTTGGTTACACTGCTTACCCCTAGTGTGTCCTTTCTCTTCTTTTTGCACCCACTGCCAGTCATCCTGTATGATTTCATCACTAGTTTTCTGCAGATTCACTGTAACATCTGTGTTGGGTCTTTCTCGCATTCCTAGTATTTAATGGAGCATTGTGTAATTACTGTACTTGCTACAGAAGCGCCAACTCCATTCCCTCCAAGTAGACAGAGACAGCTGAATAAAACACAGATGGTGTGTTTTATACAACCAGGTGCTGGTACAAGCGAAAAAAAAAAGGGGCTAACGGTTGGAGCTAAACTCTGCAGGACACCGGCCCTCCAGGACCGAGTTTGGGCACCCCTGAGCTAACACCTTCAGCCGTAGCAAGCAGAAAAATGAGAAGACCAAGGGTATGTTAAAACTCACAGTAAAATCTTACCATCTCTGAGACGTTTTAACTCAACATTCATTGTTATTGATTTTATAGTATGGTGGAAACTCATACCTGGTGGCATCAGTTAACTTGTGAATTTTTTTCTCGGGCGTAATGTAGCTGATTCAGGTTGTAGTTCAAAATCCATTTGCAACTTTATTGAGAGAAGATAGCATCAGTCAAGTTAGACAAATTCAAATTGAAATCCAATTTTCTAGAACAAATCCTGGCAAATGAACAAAACTAGGCAGACCCAATATACTCAGAAATAGAATGGTGAGAAATGAAATTGGCAGGCGAAAGCAAGAATTCAGAATGTACAAGAAACATACATAACACATAAATGTCATGGCAACAAATGCCAGTCAATCATTATGCAGGCGTTTAAATTTGTTTGTAAGAATTTGGGCCACATGCAGAGTTTGACGCAGCCTGTAAAACAGAATGCAAATCATTATATACATAAAAGTGTCAAGAAAGAAAAGTATCACATTTTTGGTGCATTTCTAGGTGGAAACATCTGCAAGTAGCCTAAAAGAATGCCTAAATAGCTATTTGCTTATTTTTACATAATTTATTTTGTGCGCGTGTGTGCGTGTTCAAGTGACTTCAGATAAAAAGAAAAATCATGACAATGGCAAACACAAACATGTTATTTTACAGTATAACCATGAGTCCTCTTCTCATATACTTATGCTTGTGTTTATAAATAATTTACTGCTATCTTTAAAAAAATCCAGTTGGCAGACACCTGCCGACATCATCATGCACAGCTCATCTATAATATGGTCTCACCTGTCAGGGACCTTTGTGCCTGGAGCTCTGCTGCATCATAAATTTTTTGTCACCTACTGTCTGTCTGTCTCCACTGTGCTCACAACCTTTGCCTGCTCCCAAAGGACACCATCTCCCTATCTTCCTCTCTCTTCGCATACATACTGCCACACTGTGCGGGTTTTTGACTATCTCTGGAGAGCTCAAGACAATGCGTCAAGTCAGGTCAAGTCTTTAAAAAACAGAACTGTAGTAAAAAATAAAACATATTTAAAACAAATTTTAAGTTGTGAAAATTCAAAGGGATATTAAAAAAAAAAAATCTTAATATAAGAATTATTTATAAAAAAAAGACTTTTGATAATGTTTGAAATAGTGCATTTCTGCAATGACATTTGTAATTGAAAACTTTTGCCTTTTGTGTGATGCTACATCCACACCAGTAGTTGTCAATACGGCATGTTTTTTATCAAGAATGATAGAAAAATCAGAAAATTACTTGTAGCTGCTGAATATATTAGTCATGGGTGACAGATATGCTTGCAAAAGAGTATTTCTACAATGGCACAAGTAGCCAAAAACATTTGTGTGAAAAACATTGATTTTGCGTGATGCTTCTTTCACACAAGTAGGTGTCAGTATAAGATTCAAGTCCTTTGTACTTTTGTCCATCAAAATATAAGTAAAAACTATGTTATTTACATTTATAGGCATTTCTACTATAGGACTGGTAACTGAAAACGTTTGCCTTTGTGTGATGCTACATCCACACCAGTAGGTGTCAGTACAACGTTCAGGGCTACTGTTTTGTCCAGTAGCAAAAGAATATATATGTGTATATATATACTGTATATATATATATATATATATATATATTTGAGCGATATCACACGAGTAGACGTGAGATACGGCTGTGATTCGGCCGTAGGCACGAGGCTGCAGGTAATCACAGCGTGCCGATATACAGCCATATCTCACGTCTGCGAGTGTGATATTGTTGCATTTATACAACAGTTCGACGCCACGAGTGTGTAAATAAGAAAAACAACAACTGAGTGTCTTTAAAAACCCTTTTGTGCAGAACTACTTCCTTCCGCCACAGATTAAAATCTCAATTTGACAGTTTAACAGCTGAGTTCAAGCCTCTAATACTAATTCAAAAACGTCACTATAGAACTAGTACCGAAGAAACATTGAGTTGCTTCATTAAAAGCTTATTGTATCACTGTATTAAAAGCTCTCTGTATTATATGTAGAGTATTATGCAATAGGGATTGACTGAGCGAGTGTGATTACATGCATCTGATACAGCATTAATTTTTCAGCTCAATCTCATATTCACAATAAAACATTTGTTTGAATGTCCGCTGAGGAAAGCAATATCTTTGTCGTACTCTCCTTTCATCTGTTAAGGGGGATTTCCGATGACAGCGCTGCTCACTGCATTTGTTAACTGTGTCTTACAAGCTGTTGTTGAAAGTAAAAAGAACTTCCTTTTTACCCTCAGCCAAAACTATTTGCTCTGGAACAAATAATAGATTAATGAGACCAAAGACTGCCCATTAGAATTACCCAAAACAAATTATATCTCATGTTTAACCACTATAGAGTCATCAGAGCCAGCTGCAAATTCCAGAAGATCTGGCCGAGGTGAGGCTGCTCTCGGTGGGTTCATGAGCGCTGAGCGGCCGCTGACGCCCTGGAGCTCACATCTCCAAAAACGTCGAAGCAAATTTTCAAATAGACGTTATCTTTATTAACAAACC